TTTCCTATGAGAAGCCCAAAGTATAAATATAAAGCAGAGCAGAAAAAAAAGGTAGATACAAGGAAACAGGGTGATAGATCTTTTGCAAAGGGGGAACACATCAAGAAATAGTGGGAAACCAGGAATATAGCACAATGGCATAAGCACATGCCTTGCAAGCTCAAGGTCATGAGATCAATTGCTGGTACCAAAAAAACAAACAGAAATACAAAAAAAAAATACTGAAAGGGCTGGGGATTTAGTTCAGTGGCACAAGTGTCTGCCTGACAAGTGTGAGGTCGTGAGTTCAATCTGTGGTTAGAGAGAGAGAGAGAGACAGACAGACAGACACAGACACAGACAGAGACAGAGACAGAGAGAAGAGAGAGAGCAAAGACACATAAAAACTAAGATGTGAAGATGTGTCAAGTACATAGACTAACTCCCCACAATGAATGTAATCATTGTGTGTTGCAAACATTAGAATTAAAAAAGAAAGAAAGAAAGAAAATGAGAAAAACTCCAAGGTATGTTAAGCACATAGCATTATGTACTACAAACATGGACCAATAAAGGTAATTTAAAAAATTTCCCGCAACCATTTGAAATGTAAAATCCACTTTTAGCCTCTTGATGTAAAAAACAGACAGACAGCAAGATTTGGCCTGTAGATCAAACTCTGAAGATGTATATTTACTAAACTTGAACTCTGTATTACTAGAAATAATACCAGTTAATCATGAGCTGGATTTGGTTTGGTAATATTTTATTTTATTTGCTATATTTCACTTTTGCTGATATTTTATTTTTGCATCTAATCCCGGGTCATACTGGCCTATGCAAGATTTCAGGTTAGTGGTGTTATAAGCACGGATGTATACTATGCAGCTTGTATGATCTTTGAAAGTGTTTTGAATGAGTTGTCATTACTCAAAAACTGGGAAATAAAATTTGAGAATTTTTTTAGCTTTGCTTAAAAAAAGGAAGAAATGTGGGGAAACTGACCATTGGCCCAGTTTATCACCTTTTGATAGATATTTTCTACAGTATGTTTTTTATTTCATTCATTTCTACTCCTATTTTAATTTTTGACCCTTGCTCTATGGTTTTCTACTGCTGAGCTTATTTGAATTTTGCTTTGTGTAGGCTTCCTCTTAGCATGGACAGATCTTTCGGTTTTTTTCTTGATTCTGAAATAGTTTAAGTTACATTGGCATCTGTTTCTTGAAGGCCTTATAGTTGGCTGGTCTGTCTAAAATTTTGTCAGATAGAGTTTTGGTTATTTTTTTTTTTTTTTCTTTTTTCTCTCTAATTAGTGACCTATTAACCATTGCAGATTTATAATATACAGATAAATATGTATTAGATCTATAATTATAAAGCTAAACATCAAGTTCTTATATAAGCTTTGGTAATGCATACTTTCTAGAAAATAAACCCATTTTCTCCCAGATTTTCAAATTCATACAATAAAGTTGCAATATCTTTTTTCTCATGTTAGAAATTATTGTTGTTTCTTAGCTATCTTTCTCTTTCCTAAGCTGGTTTATTTGTAGTTTTCTTTTTTATGTTTTTCCAGAGGCCTTTTTTATTGATCATCTCAAAGGCAAGGCTTTTTGCTTTATTATTTTCCTTTTTCTTTTTGATCTTACACTGCATGGCTCAGGCTCACCTTGAACTCACTATGAAGTCCAAACTGGCCTTAAACTTGTAGTGATTGCCCTGCCTCAGTTTCCCAAGTGTGACATTATAGGGTGTACTACCATGCCCAGATTATTGAAATCTAATTTTATTTTTTTACAGATTTCAACACTTCCTGTATGTGTGTATTCTTGTGTCTGTGTCTGTGTCTGTGTCTGTGTCTGTGTCTGTGTCTGTGTCTGTGTGTGTTACAGCGGATTGAATTCAAGTCTTCACACTGTCTACTTCCCCTGCTCTTTATGTTTTATTTTGACACAAAGTCTCACTAACTTGCTCAGGAAGCACTCAACTTGTGATTCTCTTGCCTCGGCCACATGAAAGTGATAGGATCACAGTACTGCTCCACCATGCCTGGCTTTATTATTTCCTTTTTAAAATTTCTTCCAAATTAGCTTATTCCTTTCTGATTTTTTAATACAGATCTTTCTTGTTTTTGAATATAAGTGATTCCTTGGACTTCCTATTCTATTCCATTGACCTGCCGTCTTTTTTTCCTGGTATTTTAATATCTGGCAGTTCAAATATGTTGTATCATTATTTCTCAAAAATTTTTTTGTTATCAGGTCAGATGATATGTTAAAGTCACTATGAGTCTTTGATAATTAACATGAAAGTGTACCCAAATAAGTCATTTTAGTCTCTTCTTTCTAAACTCAAATATTCTTTATTCTTACAAAATTCACATTTAAAAAAATGTATATGGCCAATCTCTCTGTGTGAGGGCAGTATGTTTGTGATATATTCAAGAATATTTTGTGTATATGCATGTATATACCCTGTGTATATGCTCAGGATATATGTATAGTTTATAGAGTGTATGTGTGGGAGGTATGTATGTGGTGTGTCTGTTTCTGTGTGTGTGGTACGTATATGCATGTGGGGTGTGTCAAGGGATGAGCAGTATACACATATGCAGCAGTGTGTGCAGTGCCTATTTTTGTACTGTGGGTATGCAGTGTATCTCTACACACGTGGAGTATGTAGACATGCCCTAGGGGGTGCTAGAGTGCTCGGGGCATGCCAGACACATCATGCTGGGTCCTCAAACTCCCCCCTCTTCTTGGCAAAAGCAGGGCCAGGACCAAGACTCTGAATGTCAACTGTGAATGGCATGGGGCCAACAGGACAAGTCTTTCTTGCAGTGCCACTGTCCAGGTGTCCACTCACTTCTGTCCTCCAGCTCCTGAGAAAAAGGTGACTATCCCTGTAAGAAGAAGAGTCTTCCAGGGCTCTGCGAAGTAAAGAAACCTTACCAGGGGTGGATCAGGATCAGACTGGCCTTGGGGTCTCGTAGCTGAATCACTTAGCTCCTGAGTCATGTAGAAGGAGTTAGGAGGGACCTGCCAGGTAGTGAGACCTTTGTTCCCTATTGGAGGTGAGGTGCACAGTGTGGGTCTCAGCCCTTTCTCGCCCCGCAGCTCTGCATAGTTCTAGGGCTAGGTCCCGGATGCTCATAGCCTCCTGACTCCACGGCAGTCTCCCCCGGCTTGGAGTCTGTGGTGATCCCTCACAGAATTGTGAAGAGGGTGCACTGTCACCTAGGATACCTCACTATCTCCTTCCCTGGGCTTTCCTTTACCCTAGCTTCTGAATGCCAGGCTTTCTAGTTTTGGCTGTGAGTGATCAGCTCTTCCTTGGGGCACTTGCAGGCCATTCTTAACTCTTGATCTTGAGCCTGCAGGTCTGCAATACCTCAGGGCTCAGTGTCCTGTCTACATTATATGGCTTGAGTCTGAGGTTACCTATTTTCTCTGGCTGGATGGAGTGGCCAAACAAGGATACTTCCCTACACAGAAAGGATGCTTGGACTCAGACTTTCCCAGCCAGAAAGAAGATCAGGCGTGCCCAAGTCCAGGGTGTGGGTAAGTCTATCTGCCAGAGGTTTGGCCCTGCCCCCGCTAAGGGCATTGTTCATAGAGTGGGGATTGGGGAGGAGCAGGGTAGGGGTTCACAAGGTGCTAGGATTCAAACAGCCCACCAGCCATTTTGGGACTCATTTGCATTCGGCCACTTGTTTGTTGACTTCAGGGCTCCTCGGTTTCCGTGCTCCACTGGTGGCCAGCAAAACCTCCGGCATCTAGTTTCTTGCTGCCTCCTCCTGCTATTGGCCATGGAGCAGGTGTGGAGGCCAAGGAAGAAGAGAAGGGTGATGCCCTTTAAGGTAGACAAAGCTAGGTTCAAATTTCAGCTCTTTTTTTTTGCTAGTTCTGTAAACCTTAGGCAAGTTAACCTAGCCTCTGCCTGAAGTTCTGATTGTAAACTGGAGTTAATACTTCTTACTGTTCCTGTGAAGATTAAATGAGATGATGTGTGCAGATTTCTCAGCTCAACTCCTGGCACCTGCTACTCAGTATATATAACTCTTCTCCTTCACGCCCCCCAGACTTGTCTTCAGTAGATCGCTGAACCACAAATACCATTTGGCAATGAAGTCAGAGGACTAGGGATGAATACCGACACTTCCCATTTTTAGAGTTACATGAGACCGGCAGCTTTCCCTTCCACAGTGACACACTCAGAGATTTGCAGAGCAGATGTCTTGGTGTGAAACCACTCCCTGGAGGTGTCTCATGAATGTTTGCCGACAAATCCACACAAGTGCTGACCTTCCTTCTTAGTGCTGCCTCCCAGCACCGCGCTCACCAGGCAGAGATCCACAGTGCCCCCTCCTCTGTGTCCTGTCCTGTGTGTGAAGCCTTGAGCTGCAGATGCGAGGCCACTAGTCTGGCTGGACCAAGCTGCTCTGGTCCAGACCTGTGCCAGGCTGCTCTCTCACCTCATAGAGGAGGTTCCAGAGAGCAGTCCAGGCTGAAAGGGTTAGGGAAGGGGTGGCAGCCTGCTACAGGGCAGGTGCACATATACAGGTTTCCAGACCCATCCACAGTTAGGAAGGTGCTCTTTTGTCCTCGTTCGGCTTTGATGATTACAGGCCTGAGCTTCAAAGCCGGTTACAAACCCAGTTGTAACTCAGCTAATTGCAGCCTGGGGAGCTGGGTGAGCAGGCCAAGCCCGCCCGAGTGGGCACACCGGGCTGCAGGTCTCTCTTGAGGCTGGCACCTGCAGCCTTGAAGCGCGGCGAGGGAACCAGGGGTCTAGGCTTGGCCACTGCCTCTTGCAGGCCTCTGGCGTTAGGAGCCATCTCTGGCGGCGGGTGGCAGTCCCCGCCGCTCCCAGCGTCCACGCCCCCTCCGCGCTGGCCAGAGTCTGCTCGGTCAGGTGGAAAGCTTCCCATTCAAACCAGCGCGGGCCAATCAGGGCCTGGCGCGCCCGGCCGTTCCAACAGCGCGCAGAGCAGCCGGGCTCCTGCTGGCTCCCGCTTGGAGACTCTGGCGCTGGGGCGGCGAGCCTGCTACCTCGGTTACTGGCAGCAACACAGCCGCCTCGGGTTGCAGGCGCTCCCCACCCTGTCCACAGCGGGGACCCATGGAGCGCTCCTTGCACCGCGTCTCCCTCGGGAGCCGGCGCGCCCACCGCGACCTGTCCTTTTACCTCACCACTTTTGGTAAGTGCTTCTGGGACGGGCTGCCGGGGCTGCTTCCCCTGCTCCCGTCGCCCAGGAAGGCAAGCTCTCGTGGTGAGAGGCGAGGCGGGAACAGGCTGCTTCTTCTTCGGGGGCACCTGCTCAGGCCCCTCTCTCCAGAGATCGCCCAGGACGGAGCAGGGCACCGCTCAGGCCGAGTAGCAACACACCACCTGCTGCCTGCCGCAGCTCTCGCTGGCTGCAGTTGGTTCTGCCTTACTTGGCTGGAATAATGCCCCAGTTAGTCTTTCAGAGACCGGGGTTGTCACCACGGAGTTTTCTATTAGCAAGTAGCTCAGGTTAAATCAGGTTAAATCTAGTTATTGAATCTTGAGATCTCATTCACCCACTTTTCTTGGGTTTAGGAACCCCCATATACAGGGTTAGTCTGGGAGGCCTTGAATCCCATGGAGTCATTTTGGAGGCTGTAATCTTGCTTGGTCAAGGAGTATCTGACCTGTAGCTGAGATGGGAGAATTCTCTTCTCCAGGACAAACCTTAGGAGAGTGCAAAGGCTGTCCTCAGGGGTTGGGGTGGACAGAAAGAGGCAATAGGCCCTGTGCCCAAGCTCCTGGGTTGCAGATGAGGGGTCCCTCCACTACCAGCCTGGCCTTCCAAGTAGCAGTTGTAAAGGTAACAGCTCTCCCCTAGAGTACAGCCTGGTGCAGCTCTTCATTTCCTCCTGGTCTTGGGTCTCCCTGTGAGGAGATGGTTTGTTTCTCCTCTGTGAAGACCTGGGCCCAGAGAGAGGAAGATCCCCCGTGAGCCAGTGGCAGACTTGGTGCCCAAGCCTTCTGGAAGTGACCTGAGCAGCATATTTCTGTTTGAACTTGCATACAATCTTCTTATAACAATCAGGGCAGCTATTGCAACAGAATTGGACTTTGCCCTGAGTGTAAAGGCAGAGCACCCAAGAGTTAGGCCCATGGTGGCTTCCTGGCTCCCCTCCTCTCAGGCTGACTCCTGTCCTACCACCCTGGCTCCTCACAACCAGCTTGCCCCTTCAAGAGGCACTGTGACCCGGCATCATGAAATACACTCATCCGGGTGGTGGAGGACAATAGGTACCAGGTTTGTTACCTGCATTGTGTCATGTTGTAGCCCCAACCCCACAGGGAATCCCGGTGGCCCCACTGGAGATGTGGGGCTCTGTGAGACAAGGGACATCCCCAGGATGATGTGGGGTGGTGGAGTTTCAGGTGGTCAGGAAGCTGTTTAATGCTGTTACTTTAGCTGTGCCCTGATTAAAAAATGAAAATAGGGTTCACTGGGTTTTCTTCTTATTGTTTTTTATATTCTTTCAGACTTCTCTAATTTCAATAAAATTGAGATCAACTTATATGTGCAGTTTTGTAAGCCATTCTATTTCCATACTGCGATGATGTGAATATTTCCTTGCATCCGTCTAAACATATTCATCTATTGACTTGACCTCCCTACTGGATCTGAGAAGTTGGGGAAGGTCCTGGCCCAGCAAGGTGTGACTCCTACTCAACCATTGCCTCAGGGTTAGTTCTGATGGGCTGGATCTGTGGTTATAGGGAACTTTGTGTTGAACTGACAGCTGTTACTGAGTGTGGAGGAGGCAGGCAGGACCTGGGGAGGAGTGAGAACCTCCTGATCCTACTCAGTTTCTTCTGAACTCTCTCCAAAGACACTGATTAGAAAGTCTGAAAAGTTCTCCTTTGTTTCCTGCATTAGTTCTTTTTCCAGTGGTGCAATCTGTAATGGTGCTCCTCTTCTAGGCTGCTGATTTTCGTTGTACACATTTGTATGTGAAGGTTCCTGTCGGTGGTGAGTAAACCTCGCCACGTATCAGAAGCATCTTAGGCCTCTGTTAAAACATAGTTTCTGAGAATAATGCCCCTAGAATTTGATTTAATAGGTCTGAAATGGAGTCTGAGAATCTATACTTGTGCAGGTGTGGTGCTGTGTACCTATAATCCTAGCACTCTGGGAGACTGAAGCAGGCGGGTTGCAGGTTTGAGCCCAGCTTGAAAAATTTAGTGACAATGAGATTCTATCTCAGAAATAAAAAAGGAGCCGAGAGGTAACTCAGTGAGAAAGCACTGGGTTCATTCCTAATCCCCAAGTACACACACACACACACACACACACACACACACAGAGCCATAGTATTTTGACCATCAGTCAAACTACCATGAGATTCAGAGTCAAATTGTGATAGCCAGTGTGGATTTCTTTTACTGGGAAGATCTTTGCTAAGCTTTTCTTAATCCCCTTTCCTTTCCCAAGTGTAGTAGGTGGTCCCTGGCCTTTAGCAGTGTGCTTTTTCTCAGAAGAATCTGGTTATCTAGATGGAAGATTCCTGAGTACACACTTTCAAAGGGAACACAAGTATTTTCAGAGGTGGAAAGATGAAGTTGTTCCCTTCGGGGAGAACCCTGTGTGGTGCATACGCTGTAGCTGTGTGTGGATGTGAACACACCCTTTGCCTCATCCTCCCAATGTGACAAGTCCAGGTGACATTCACTCGTCATCCCACTGCCTGAGGAGGAAGTGGCTGACTTTGGGGAGGGAGGATGCAGCCTGAGGGTAGGACCTGGCTTCTTTTCTAGAAGGATTTTCCTTTGCTGTAATATCTGGTGTAATTTGAAGAAACCATTCTAGGTGTACATAATGCTTTTCCCCAGGATTGAATCTTTGATTTTGATTAGAATATATTGCTATTTTTTCGAGGGTAAAAGCTTTGTTGGGAAATACTTAATATATACACAATTCAGTGATTTTTTATTTTTATTTATGTATTTATTTTATTGGTACCAGGGATCGAACTCACGACTGCCTGCTTGCAAGGCAGGCGCTTATGCCGCTGAGCTAAATCCCCAGCCCGATTTTTTATTTTATTTTCATGGTTTTATAGTTATCACCACAGTCAATTTTAGAATATTTTCATCACTTTAGGAAGAAACATTACCCCTTTAGCTTAGCACCTTTAACTCCATGTCCTTCCCTGCCCCAGGCCCAAGTATTCACTGATCTACTTTCTGTCTCTATAGATTTGCCCATTTTGGACATTTTGTATAAGTGAAATCGTATATATTTTTCTGTGACCGACCTCTTTCACTTATAATGTTTTCAAGACTTATTCATGTTGTATCTTCTATCAGTGTTTCATTCATTTTTATGGGGGAATTTTTATAGCTGACACATCTCACTTTATCCTTTCATCTGTTGGTGGATATTTGAGGTTTTTTGGCTATTATAAATAATGGTGCCATGAACATTTGTGTGGATTAACTCTTTCATTTTTCTTAGGTATACAGTTAGGAGAGTAGTTTCTGGGTCATAAGGTGACTGTTTAACTAGTTGAGGAACTGCAAAACTTTTGCAGTATCTGCACCATCTTACATTCCTTTTATTTTTATTTTTTTCTTTTTTTTTTTCTATTGGTACCGGGGATTGAACTCATGACCGCCTGCTTGTAAGGCAGGTTCTTATGTCACTGAGCTAAATCCCCAGCCCCCTATTTTTATTTTTTTCATCCTATATTCTTATCAGAAGTGTGTGTGCAGGCTTTGATTTCTCCAAATCTTCACCAACACTTATTATTATCTAACTTTTCAATTCCAGCCATCCTGGTGACATCTTATAATTGTTTTCACTTGTATGTCCTTGATGGCCAGTGCTTCTATACATTCCCTATATTATTATTGACTCTGTGTACATTCTTTGGAGATTATTGACTATATACCTTCTTTGGAGAGAAGTTTACTCATTTTTTCCCCTCATTTTAAAATTGTGTTATATATGGTTTATTATCGAGTTGTATATCAGATATATGATTTACAAATATTTTATTTCAATTTATGGATTTTTTTCTCACTTTTTATAGTATTTTTTTGAAGCCTGAATGTTTTTAATTTGGGGATTCAATTTATTTTTTATTTTGTTACTTGTATTTTTAATATTATATTTCTGAATGGTAATGGTATCAGCTTTAAGGTCATAGATATCTTTTCTCCTGAAAGTTTTATGGTTCTAATTCTTAAATTTAAGGCTTTGACTTATTTTGAATTAATTTTTTTATATGTAAGAGTTAAGGGTCTAGTTTCATGTTGCTATCCAGTTATCCTAGCACTGTTTTATATTGCTGTTGGTTGATATTGGTACCTTTATTAAAACGTAGTTGACTGCAGAAGCAGAGGCAGGAGGGTTGTGAGTTCAACACTAACCTGGATGACATAGTGAGAAGCTGTTTCACCATGGGACAAAATGAAAAAATGAACAGAATCCTGATTATATAATAAACAATATCAAGAATCAACAAATAGGATCATATCGAATTAAAAACTTCTGCAGAGCATAGGATACACCCAACAGAGTGAAGACAAACTATGGAATGGAAAAAATTTCCTGCCAGCCATTCTTTGGGCAGAGAATAAACATCTAGGATATATTAAAAAACTAAAAAAAAAAAAAATTAGACTCACCAAATAAAAGACTCAGGGCAACTGAAATGAATAGACACTTCTCAGAAGGAGTATAAATAGCCAATAATCCATGAAGAAAGGTTCAACATCTTTGGTCATTCAAGAACTGCTAATTACAGCAACATTGAGATTCAGTCTCACTGCAGAAAGGATGGCTGCCAATAAGAAATCAAACAGTAATAGATGCTGTTTGTGGGGGAAAACTGTGGGGGAAAAAAAGGGAAAACTTCTTCATTGTTGTGGGACAGTAAATTAGTATGATCACTATAGAAATCATTATGAAGATTCCTCAAAAACTCAAATTAGAAATTCCATTTGACCCAGCTTTTTCCTTTCTAGGTATCTTCCCAAAAGAATTAAAAGCATTGTATTACAGCGATACATACATATCGATGTTTATAGCAGCACAATTCAAAATTGGAAGTGACCTATGTGTCCGTCAACATATGAATAGATAAAGAAAAGATGGTATTTATACACAGTGGAGCACTACGTGGCCATAATGAATAAACTTGAGTCAATAGCAGG